CAGAAGTGTGTGCTCCCCGCTTTACACACCCTATTTTATATTACAAAGTGCGTGGAAAGTGGCCCATTATTGCGCGCGCGTCATCTGTGCGACGGATTGCCGATTCCATACACGAGTCAAAACAGTGCGGTAATGTTTACATTGGCGATGGCGGCACCATCCAACGATCCAACATGCTTGACTTTATTTTACAAACGTTCAACTCCTTTCATCCCAGACTACAATTTACTCTAGAAGAAGGAGTTGACAACAGATTATATTCCTTGACGTTACACTCATTTTACAGAACAACTACATAAGGAGGATGTTAAAAAGAGGCCATTTTTGGCCCGTTAGTGCAACGTGAAAACGTACTAGAGAATTGTTATTTGGACTATTTAAGAAAAGAAAATAACATTTATTTCATTCTAAAGTGGTGGGAACATGCGGTTAGAATAAGCAAAGTTTAGCTCGTTTTACCCTTTGACGACAAAGCATGTACGCATAATTTCTGAACCAGATTAGTGTGGCAACGTGGGAACTTTGCAATTGCAGGTGTGTCCAATAATGGCATCAATTCCAGCCATTGTTTTATCGACAAGCAGGTAGACAAAATACTTAACAAAATTAGAGTGTCTAGAACGTAAGCGAGCTTTGAATAGATTGGCATTCAAAAAGTCTACATCTATTCCGTATTTACGGTAGTCAATGTGTGCAGTTTCCTTAGCTACTTCAAACTCAAAATCTCCCGCTTCATTTAAGTGATCGGCATAGTAACTCCGCGCCATTTTTATTTGATATGTGCCACATGTGTACAATTGAAGCTGAGAATCGTCAAGTTGTGGAAAGAAGTCTATTTTTAAAATATGAGAAGAAATTATGCGTACATGCTTTGCCGTCAAAGGGAAAAACGAGCTAAATTTCGCTTATTCTAACCATGTTCCCACCACTTCAAGATAAAATAAATGTTTTTTTTTTTTCTTAAATGGTCCAAATAACAATTCTCTAGTACGTTTTCACGTTGCACAAGCGGGCCAAAAATGGCCTCTTTTTAACATCCTCCAATTTTGACTAATTTCATAAACCTACATTTTCGGAGAGATACCTTAATTATGACTCTCAACATCTCCTTTGTCAAAAAAGAGGCACAGTCATTTCACTTATAGATAGAGAGCCTTCCGTTTGTCTCATCCAAGCTTCCACCAAAAAAAATCTCGAGTTCGCGATTAACTGTTTGTAAATAACGGATATCCATTACTTTTCATTTCCAACATACTAAAAGAACGCATTAAAAGCTTAATCGCGTTACAGAATAAACATACTAACACTGACATAACAACTAACGACAGTGAAGACGTACCACGTCAAGCATATTTCGTTGTACCGTACATCCCGACAATATCAGAACAATTTCCCAATATAATTCGCGATCTAGATACAAAAATAGCTTACACAAAAGCTTAAATAAGCTTAGAAGATTTATCAGGGTACGTACATATTCCTACCGGATCACGTAATAATGTAGTGTATAAAATTTCTTGCAAAGACTGCGATGCGTCTTATGTCGGACAAACAAAAAAGGCTTTTACAAACGAGATTATCTGAACACTGGAAACATATTAACAAAAATACTACACAGAAATCCGTAGTGACAGAATATAGACTAAACAACCATGAATTTGACTGGAATAACGTCGAAGTCTTGGATGAAGAACAATCATATGGAAAAAAATTAGTTTCTGAAATGATATTTATAAAAAGACAGACTAACGGCCTTAATTTACAAACGGATGCAGAGAGTCTCCACCATGCGTACCTTCCCATTATAAACAAGCTTCCAAAAGTATAACTGTAACGTGTTGTTTAGAACTTATTATTTATACAAAACTTCCGTGACATTGTTCTTTTACACTAACGGTCAGTCGTTATCGAATGCTCATGACAGACAGTTGTCTCTTACGGATGGAGAAGGTGAGTGGCCTCCATAAAAAATTAGACCCACATTTATAAAATTCAACGATTATTTTCACTTCAGTGCTCCTTTTTATGGCTGGCACCTAGAGGAGACCACACATAGAATGTCTTGTCACCTGTGAATGAGTGCTCACCGACGTGTCAAATTAAACATTTACATTCTACAACTCACACAGCACAGTATGTATTAAAATCTACATGTATAAAGCATTGCGATTTCTATCCATTACTCAATTTGTAATAATACTCTGTTTAGTTGCTGAAGATGGTCCGAATAAAGACCGAAACGTACGTCGTTTAATTCCATCAAGAATAAATATAATTTCGCACCGTCAACAGCGATTATTGGCTCTTAATTAGCCCGTTTCCTTCCACGTGTGGACATCCAACAGAGCCTTATCTCTGCAATTTTAATATTATTTCTGATTTGATAAAAAACCCTCATGATCCTTTTAATTAGCTCTTCTCTAGTATCGACTGGAATTATATACACCGGAGCGTAGCTCCTCAAGAACGCCTCGAAGGACAAGGATTCTTTAACAAAAGTCAATTTTTTTTGGTGGGACCTACCATCTCTTAAAGTTTGCTCTATGGATCTTGTTACATACTGTATATACGCGAGTTACTTATTTTATAATGTTACAGTTTTAATAAATAAATTGCTCATCCGAACGATCAACTACTGCACGATTGCAACGATTCAGGCAACTCGGCACGATCGATAAATCACAGTGATAAACTTTCAGATTTGTCTCCAAGATATTTATATAAAACTGATGCAATCCAGCGATCGCACGGAATCATTCAGCTAGATGAATTTACGATTATCTGAAGTCGCGATTGCTCTTCTGCTCGAAACTATAATACATACTCTGTATAAAACAATCATCTTATTAAGCATGTATTCTGCTAGCAGAGTCTGCCGACATAATCTGATAGCAAATTTTATTAGCAGAAGTTAGGTAAAATTTGTTATTTCGTAATTTACGAGGATGTTTAAAATATAAACGGGAATTTGTTTTCTATATATGTTATGTATACAATACTATGCCGAGTACCGGAATGTTTCACATACTACTTTTTATTATAATTCTCCTCGACTGCAGTGTCTTGTCCCATTATTCTCGAAACTTTCTAAATCAAAGAAAGTTTTAGGTAGCTTGTCAAAACAACTCTGCACAGTTTCAATGACCTCGTCATTATTGCGCATAGGTATCTTCGCACTGATCGGATACTTGTACTAACTATGATGACTAATTTTGTACTATTTCTCTTCATTTAATTTCCTTCTTTGTTTAGTTGCCACTAAGCTTGGTAAGTAAGCATAAGTTTCCTTTTATCATTACAACATATAATCTACTGAACATTATAGCTCCTTTTACTTTTTAGACTTACATGTGCTTTTCAACGAAGAATGCATGCAGTGTTTGTTACTACAGTTATTTTTGATGAGTTCTCATCATAGAAGTGTACTTTACTTTTGACATCTCAGTTATTTTTAAATTCTTGACTTATCATGTTTAACTTTGACTTTGGCTTTCCGATTAATCATTCCAACGCTTTGAACGTAAACCTCATTTCGATTTTCTTTTGTCAATAGGATGTAATTATTTTATTTTTATTCTTTTTAATGTGATTCCTCTTGGTGTTTCGTTATAATGTTCTGAAGAAGTCCAAGTATGGTTCGAAACGTTAACAATTTTATGCAACTTTTAAATTTTTAATAAACAACTATGTTTTAATTTATTTTTTACCATCCTTATTTATTGCTCCAAAATTTGCCGTCTGTCACTTTTATTAGCTGTTATTTTTGTCGAGCGTAATATAATTCTTTTTATCATTGTGATATATATTTCTTGCTTCCTAAAAATTCCTTTAGTGGTCCGATTATCATCTGTTTGGCTCGATTACCTCTATGTATGTGCAAAGTTGGTTTAAGGGTGTTCTAAAGAGTTAGTTAAAATGTAAAGAAGTTGACGAAAATTTAATATCATATTGTGTATTCTCTTTCAAAGTTCGGGGCTAAATTTCAAATCAATTCACAATTTAGATAAAAAGTTATCAATTTTTGAATATCCGTTTTACAAAGGGTTTTACAGAGAAAAGTGTAAACATTAAAAAATGTAACCAATATAATAATATTTTACACACAAGCAGATCATCAACAAACAAAAATATAGCAACAAAATTTAAAACAATTTACAATTTTTTTTGGAAAAAAAATAGTAGTAGGCAACAGTTATTTACAGTCACTAAATCTACGTCTTTTACGTTCTATTAGATGTTCCGTAACTATAATTTATATATATTTTTTTGTCTTTAAATTCCTGGAGAATTAATATCAGAATTTTTAATATTTTCTGCATATACTTTTGGTTGGGACGGTACCTATAGAACATCCTTAACAAGCTACTTAAAAACATTATTTAATCTGTCTTCGACAGATTTGGCTATTATATCTAAGTAATTACCATTAGTTTTTCAAAGCATCTCTTTATGCTTTATCTGTATTGTTTTATGTTACGTATTATTTTTCTCAGTTATTCCGAATAGAACTAAACCCTAGAGTTTAACAAACAATCGTAATAATAAAAAGAAAGATTATCGCAACACGTACCCCGTACAATTAATTCGTAGTGTCTCCAGCGCGTATATAGTGTTTTAAAACTATATTTCTAAGTGGACATTGCGCGTTAACCAGGGATATTCAATCGATATCCAAAAATACCCACCGCTTGTCCATGCTATATGGAACGTGCGCGATGCTGGAAAAGAGAAGAAGCCAACGCCGGTGGTTCGAGCATCAGCATCATCAGCAGCAACAGCAGCAGTAACGGACGAGGGCGATCGATGTGATCCGTGGCGCGTTCAATGCCATGCACACTTGGAGAACATTGAATTGTGTTCAGTAACAGAGCCGCAGTAGCAGCAGAGAAAGAGAGAGAGAGAGAGAGAGAGAAAGAGTGAGAAAGAGAGAGGGGGTATACCCCACGGTCGATGCCTATAGTATATAGCCAGCTACGAACGCAACAGATCGTTCCAGTCGTTGTCTTTCGTCTCAGGATTTGCTAGCTTCCTTTTTTCGCCTATTATTATACATGTCCTCGGATTAGCCTCGATTCTTCCGAGGCCTCGCGCGATACATTCCCACAATGTACACAGTCACAGTTTAATCAAATGATAATCTAACTAACCGATTAGTTTCGCCGTTTTGGTTATCGCGATCGAAGTGGTGCTCGTCGTGCTCGAAGAGATAGTGGCCGGCGATAACAATTCGTACCGTCGCAACAAGCAAAGATTAGGGAATCTCCGATATGTTCTCCGTGACGTAGGACGGAGTCTGTTCGCCGTCGCCGAGCGGAAGCTGGGGAGGAGTTTCGTAATAAATAAAGTGCATCTGTTTAGCATAAGTATTTCGTTGCGCCGCGTCGCGCAAATTGGCCGTTTTAATTGTGCGCGCGTGGCGCAGCATCCTGAAGGCTGGATCCGAAACGCGCACGCAGCACGAAGAAACTGTTACCACCCATCTTCTCCCGGGGAACATCGGAGGTCTCGGTCGACAGTGATATGCCGCCGCAGGAGAAGTTTCCAGTGTCCGCCGGGGTTTCCGGGAACTTGTCCCCGCAGGATGCGAGCCCCGACGGGGGCCTGTCAGCCTCGGCCTCATCCGACGGGCTTTCGTCCGTCAAGGGCCGCAAGAGCGGCGATGATCAGGATGACCAGGAGCAGCCTAAGGACATAGACTTCGACGACTTGCTGCCGCACGTAGGCGAGTTCGGCACCTATCAGAGAATCCTGTTCGTGCTAATGATACCGTTCGCCTTCTTCGTCGCCTGGGTGTACTTCTCGCAGATATTCATCACCCTCGTGCCGGAGAAGCACTGGTGTCGCGTGCCGGAATTGGAGAACCTCCCGGTCGAAGAAAGGTATAGAATGGAAATTGAAGTCATCGTCGCGTTTTTATGCTTTAGCGATGGAAGAGAAAAATGTACTGATTATTTCGAGAGAAACAATAGAAAGCAACAAAAAAATTATAGTGATATTAGCGTTTCTCGCCGAATTAAATCTGAGAGGAAATAACGTACAGATCAAGAGACACGGTAGTGTCTCGCGCCAAGTACCTACACGCGCAGCGCGAAACACTACCTGTATATTTACGCGCGAGTATATTATTATAGTTTCGTCGGACAAATTTTCCTCTCACTTTCCTATTTTTGACACCAGAGTAAGAATTTACTCCAAAACAGATTTTGGATCGTTGAATGAATAGTATGACAACTCATTGTTTATACGATATTATCATATTAAATATTTGAAGTAATTACATGTTTTTTTTATGAGAGAATATTATTACTTGAGATAGCATAATTTTTACACATGAACTATTTTGATATTCGAATATTTCTTTCACGCTTTGGCACATGATTATTTGAGCGTGTTATAAATTACTTATCTACCGCTTAAAATTCACAATTTTGCGTGAATATGGTTCGTAAATAAAGCGCAAAATGAATACAGCACTTAGCAGTATCAACGTGATCATTGAATGATAATTCATACTCTTATCACATCTCCTCTCTTATCACTACTTGCATTGCTTAACATAAAGCATGAAATCATTCAAGTTTATCGTGGTAATCGCCTCTTGTCGATTCATAGCAGATTAGAGCAACTGTAAAATATTTAAGAACCATTTTGATATGTGTTTGAATATTTCTTTCACGCCTTACTATTTGGCACGTGATTATTTGAGCATATTATATAAATTACTTATCTATTACGATATCCGCTTATTCACATTTTTACGCGAATATAATTCGTAAATAAACCACGGAATGGATGTAGCACTTAGCAGCTGTATCAACATGATCACCGAATGATAATTCACAGTCTTATATTTCCTCTCTTATCGCTACTTATTTGCTTAACACAAAACGTAAAGTACATCGTGATAATCATCTACTTGTCGATTAAAAATAGATTAGTGTGAGATATTAATTTGATAAGGTATTAAAACAAGAGATTTCGATAACGCTTCTTGTCTACCAGGCGACAAAGTTCTTGATGAGAATACAGGACAAATGTTTTTTTTTCGATATAACAATATGTTCACATTCTAACTTCGCTAAAGAATAATAGAGTTTGTTGTAAATGCATAACGATACAGATAGTCTCCTTACAGTGACCGCGCATGTACGTTAACACAATAGGAGACGAAACTTTTCATCAGTTCATCAGAAACGCGAAGAGCGTTCGCGATAACTGGTTTTAGAATTTTTAAATACTGCTTTGTCTCTTCATTATGCTTATGCAACTGCATTTTCATAAACATTTCTCTCTTCCTTTTCCTGTTATTTTTCTTTTTAAAAAACTTGAGGACCGGTCCGTCATAGTTTATTCTCGCATTTCGATATACCATATATCTGTAACCACTTTTGCGGCAATTCGAGCGGATTTTATTCTGCGTTACGACTACCGGTATTCAGCAGAGACCGCGTTTTCCCGCGCGGTTAATTGTTCACGCGAACAAATATACCATGAACAATCGAATTACCCGGAAGACGTAGAACCGGTGATTCACGGCTTGCGATTTACTATATATTTTCTTACTGCGAAAGCTTGGTCAGCGCGTTTTATGAATTATCGAACACAATGCTAGATGTAAATTATTTATTACATAATCGACTATGCATTTGCCTTGTTTGAAAGTATTCTTTAGCTATTTCCTAATTATTTAGAATCATTTTTTCAATTATAAAGAAAAAAATCTTTCTAAACGCTATGTGTAGAAGTGTCTAGAATGATTCCGAGATAAACAGAAAAACACGAATGGAACGCTATAGTTTCACTTAAACCCACTCTAGGACGCAGTCTGTAATTTCCGTCAAATTTCAAGCAAAGTATATTTATAATTTATATTACATTTATAATATACTATATTATATTATATATTATAATATATTTAATTCTCCATATTTATATATGTAATTTCAAGATATATTTCATAAGTGATTGTATTTTTGTCTTTTCAAATGTTTTACGTATTACGCGACAGATAAAACTGTAAGTCGAATTCCATCTTAAATTCTGTCACGAATTATAGATCGTCTAAAGAGTTTTGCGCGATATATTCACGGCTTGTTTAGCCGCTGCAGTGTATGCAAATCTGGGCTATAACGACATAATGTGAGACGCGCTAATAACTCGTAAAAGCGCTCCTAATGACCCGTTATGCTGCACTTCAAGTAAACACGCATATCTCGTGGATTTTTTAAATAAAAAAAAGTAAAAAAGAGAAACAAAAGAGGAAATAAACGCGGCGTATGTATGTACAACGTGTAAACGCTATTCTCGGCTATTGTCACTGATGCATGTGTTTTTCCACATTCGCTGACAGCAAGCGTCGGCGATTTTTCATCTCCGATGATCGCAAAAGAACGGATGGAAACTGTACGGCGTGAAACGTATCGGTGTTTGTAGAAGTACGTGTCAGTCAGGGAAAGTATGGAAACGACGCGCGACGTCGAGACCTTCGCAATCACAATTCGATTGCACGATTCGGCACGACAAGGATTGTGCGATTAGTAATACCTGCGTGTTGGTTTAATAGCCTCCTTCTATCTCTCTGACGTCAGTTTAATGACGAGATAAATGACCGGTTGATGCCAGTTATTTTTTTTTCTGCAGAAATCCATAAGAAGTATACAGACAGCGGACGTGACCCGCGCTACTTATTATTATTACAGCACTTTCAATCGTTTTCAAATGGAGCAGCGATCATGCCACTTTATCCATCGATCCGCATAATTAATAGACCGATTGTAATGGTAGAATGACGTTTGTATTAAATGGAGTGGAAAAAATTTTTTAACGTGTCTGCGACGTGTACTTCGAGCGGAGAAGATTAGCGAGGGAGATATAATTCGCAATTATAAGCTATTATCTTTCTCCCACACATATAAGCCATAAATTGCGGCTAATACTTATTAGCTTAGCGCTTTAACGAGAATAAATTTATTACGAGTTATCGTCAAGTACACTCTTACCTCACTTGAAATTTTTCCGTCGTTATTATATTTGTGACGATCTTGGGCAAATTGCACGCACAATTTCGTTGTGCTCGTGCTAACGTTTTTGTAACTGTTAGTGGCAATTAGAAAATCAATAAGGCAAATATATAGATTTGCACAACGCCCCCGGCTGCCCGGAGGCCAGCACGAGTATTCGTGGATAATGAATGATAAATTTGCACGAAACCTTCGTATGAGCAATGAGAGCGTGAACGTGAAAACTACTTGTGTAAGCCTTTCGACATAACGCCGCGCTAAAACCACACTGATTGCACGTGAGCGACCAGAAAGACGGTCCTTAAACAGGATGCTTCTGCGATGCATATTTCGATATATGTTTAATTAACCCTAGAACGCATGTATCATTTTTTTGACCTTCTAACGCATGACTGGGGGCAATATCGACCCCACGCTTTATTTGATCGTAAAACCGGTCCTACAGAAATAAAGGGCCTTTAAACCTACATGAATTTCTTCGTTTTTTAATAACGAAGAGAATGGTATGCGGTAAATTTAATTTTACTCAAGTTTAGTTAGTGAAAAATCCATTTAAAGACTCGACAATAATGTCACTCGCTAGCTCAGGAGCGTTTTTCAAAGTTCGCCTGGGATCGAAATCGACCCCTCTCATGCGTTCTAGGGTTAATACATACCATACATTACATTGCAAGTAAATAAAATTTATCTTCAAATATTTCTTGAAGAACCCATAGGTAAAACCTCTCTGTATATCAATATCACATGTGTTATTTATCTTTGGATAATAAATTATCGAATATTTTTTTATAATTATAAATATAAATTATAACATCCTTTAATTGCTCGAGTTTGACCTCTCAATTCTCTTTGTATTTACATTCAACGAGCTTCTGTATTTTTAATAAAATAAATTCTAAATGGCACAAAAATTGATATTTGTTGATCTTATAGAAGTTTTTGTATGTAAAAAAAATTATCTTACGACATTTAACCTGAAATAAAAAACTATTATAAGTGTTTTCAAACAGAATATGTTGATACGCAATGACTTTAACTGTGTAATTTTTTTTCTCAATAATATGTGCCTCTTAGCGCGTATATTTGCAGATTTACGATCCAATGTCGTAACTTTAATATTTTCGCGCGGCCAGTTACTAACTCGTGCAGAATGCTAGAGAGATGCTCGCGCAAGGATATTTATCAAGGATGAAAAATGTTGTACGTGCATTGCAATCGATGTCGAATGCGTCCGTTCGTTCGTGCAACTCTCGCCTAAAGGTCAGATTGCATGCGTTTTATTAACCAAAGGTATATGCACGCACTCGATAATTGGGGACCTTTATACGCGATAATTATTGCCGGCTTATAATCGTTTTCGATTTCCCGTCAGGATAATCCCTTCTGACCTTTTTGTTGGGTCAATGCTTGACATTTACTGGACATTTTCTTATTATATCGACCGTCTTTTATCAGAACTTTCCACATCTGCGTTGATTTCTGCCCTTGAATGGTATTTTTATTTTGTCATTCGATTTTTCAGAATCGCCCTGGCGATACCGGTCGGCGAGGATGGCTATTCCAAATGCACCATGTACGATGTGAATTACACGGAACTCCTATTGAACGGGATCAGAGAGGCGGATTCGAACTGGCCGACGAAGGGTTGCTCGCACGGTTGGGAGTTCAATTTTACCGACATCCCCTACGAGACCGTGGCGACCGAGGTAAGAGGAAAAGGAGAAAGCAGCGGAGGATGAGGATTGTGTGGGATAAGAATCATGACGGAAGAACGACGCTCTCTTCTCAGGGAGCGACGATCCTTTCGTTAAGCGTCAAAAACGCTTGTTCGCTTAATTGTTGCGCGAATTAGATATTTCAAGGTGGCTCGAACGCGTAGCAACGTGGTAGCACTGGTAGCGAACGGGTAATGGAGTTAAATATACGATGTAACGACTAACAAGCATTCATCAGCCGTTCGACAGCCAAAAGACAGCCGTATACTTGGCACGCATATCGCCGACGTGCAACAGATGTTTGCGTCGCGTTGTCACGCGAACTCGCGGCACGTGTGTGTATTCGCGCGGCAAGGACGGATCGAGAGTATATAAAGATATAAAGAGATACAATTTACACGCGCGATTGCACTGCGGAATTAAGGTAGTCCTTTCGCAGCACCTAGTCAAGTAACAGTCCGTCATGAGGTAATTGAAAACAAACATATTGCAACATCCCAATAATTATAATAATATAAAATATGATTTTACACGCACGATTTAATCGTATTTAATTATTTACTAATTAAAAAAATATTACAATAGTAGTGCGGTTGGACTCGATTCTAGGACTACATTAAGCAATTTCTCGCGCTTGTTGGACGGATTCCCGCGTTGCCTAGAAATGAGATCGCACTGCCGGTGCAGGTTTGAAAGCAATCGGTCTTTATCTCTTCCATAGAGAACGTACCCGCGCGGTTCCTCTGGTTTAGGCTTTGCCGGCCAAGAGGCAAAATCGAGAGTATTACTAAGTACTCTCTTTATATGTAAATGTATATATAACAGAAAAAAAAACAAATTTTTCTATTGATAAAATATTCAATATTAAAATGTAAAAGAAACTAGACATTTCGACCTTTTTTGAGATCATCATCAGCGGTATTTAAATATTACGATATTTATATAATTAAAATGTATGGTGCTTGTTTGAACAGAAAGAGTCATTTGCGCAGCAATATTTCTTAGGCGTTGAAATGAGGGTACGGTGTTGATTTTGTAGGCATGCGCTGGATTTATTGCTCGCATAACTCATATACATCAATATGCATGTCACTGACGAACGGAATATGTTGAGATAACTGTCATCGACAAAAAAGGGAACACTCGTCAATAAATAATTATATTATGATACAACAACAACAATAATAATAATACATATAATCCTAATAATTGTAATATTATAATATTAATAAATAATAATAATATTGTACAAAAACAGGCAGGGGCCTATAATTTGCCGACGCCTGTCTTACATCTCCGAATAACAGAATTCATTTTCGAGCGTCGACGCCGGGAAGTAAATTATTCGATCATAGATCGAATTATTCATTGCAGTTGGGATGGGTGTGTGAACACAGCGCGCTGCCGACGACCGCTCAGAGCGTCTTCTTTGTCGGCGCGATCTTCGGCGGCCTGATCTTCGGATGGATCGCCGACAGATACGGCAGAATACCGGCGCTGGTCGGCGCAAATGTCACCGGCTTTCTAGCGGGTGTCGCGACCGTTTTGGCCGGAAGTTTCTGGGAGTTCGCGCTGTGCCGGTTCTTTGTCGGCTTCGCCTTCGACAATTGTTTCACCATGATGTACATACTGGGTACGTATGTGTCGCGAGATCTTCGTACACTCAACTCTCCTAGAAACGAAGATTTTAAACGTCGCAGAATTTAGACATTTTTATAAAAGCCAAGCGGTGCTTTTTCAATTTAATCTATCGCACGTTAACCATGGAGTTTTTTATTTTTTTCCGACGCGATAATTGCTTGCTTGTTGATGATAAGCGTTATCAATCCTTCCATGTAATTTGTGACCTCAGCTGGAGGCGGAAGAAATCGCAGAAACCGCGCTCGTCGCAACAAGACATGCACGATTAAAGGCTAATAGTCATGATTTTTCGTTAATCATTAAGACGGTGAATCATATTTGCGAATAATAGAAATGGTATAATGACCTTGTCAAAGAAACGAGCCAATTAATATTTCCGAGCCGATCTGAAGACCTGATTTGCTAAATTCCGCGATTAACTTTTACGACTATATTATCTACTTAACTATGTAGACTAATTGCCTATGTATACTATAATTAAGAATCAATAAATTACCTTTTATTCGCAATATATCATTCGCTTAATTACTGCATGCCAAGACGCAATTGTCGCATCGAGTCTCGAACTCTTGGCCGCCTGTTGAAACCTACAACTAAGTATGTAGATTTTTAGCGACGTACTGGCACGTTGCCGTCAAACAAGATCGGTGGGATTCCAGACCGGAATTGATCGTGATCAGTTTTCCTTTCCACCGCGCTTATTATTAATTAGCGATTAATGAGAAATTCCGCTCGCGCGTTCTTTCTCGTATAGGCGTTCTTCCCACGTACGTGGTTATCCCAATTCGAACGTGAACAATGCCGTGCGCTAGAAACGCATCTCCTTGTATTCACTAAAGCGTTACGTCCAACCTTAACCCCATCAGCTATCGCGCTACAATCGTCGTTATTTCAGCGCAATTGTAATTAAGCTGATTAAATCGTGACATGATTAAATGTTTTCACAAGAGTTCTGGGATATGACTGATTTGCAGACAATTACATACGTTTATATATACATTCTAAATCGATATCGCTGTAAAAAGGGAGATACGATTCTCTTTGCCTTTCTTGTCCTTTCTTGCGTAATTATCTCGCGCCCGATTATCGCCGCCTGGCCTTGGCGATAGACCTGGCAATTAATCCGGCCCGAGTGATTGTCGGTCTGCCCGAATCGATCTCTAAGCGCCTGTTGAGTCACGACCGATTACAATCGCCGGATTCAGCTACCAGGTCAAGCTCGCCCGGTTTGACTCACGTAAGTCACGGTTATTGCACTCGCGCGTTTTGTCAGTTCCGTTTCGCCGATCTCGTCGGTCGGTGGAAGCGTAACCAATGTCAGAGGCACGTGCCGTTATTCGCTCGTTAAAGAAGCATTAAGTCGATCGTGTCTCATTGTTTTTCGAGAAATGTATTCGTTACGGGAAGTTTGATATCAATTTGCCTTTTTGAAGGACGAAGGAGATCGTGAAATCGCTCGATTCGTGTTTCCGCCGAATTCCTTACGCGTTTTACACCGCAAGCTGTAGTCGCGAAAAGTGTGCAAGTCGACACAGGTTTCACGATATAGTTACGCGAACAATTTTGTTTTATAAAAAATAAACTTGATAATGATTAATGGCATTTGACTTGATAATGATTTGACGGCACAAACATTGGTAATTTAGCTTCCGTAAATCAGCTTGTTCGTAATAAGAGAGGAGATTCGAGCTTTCAGAAGTCTTGAATATTAATATACGTCTTTTCTTTGACTACAAAAGTAGTCACTACTATTACTCAAAGCGTTTTTTTTTTAATTATTCAAGGAATGTGCAATCGATACATTTTGAAATCTGCAAATCGGTTTATATTGAATCTTGCAGCCTTGCGACTGTCGCTAAACACGCATAGATCAGTTCACTGATAATTTTACGCTTCACAGATGGATGGTAGCGTGAAGGTAGTGCATTTGAAAAAATGACCGCTCGTCGATCTAATTAAGATAATGTAAGTCAACAATAATGCGTTATCCTCTTAGCAAACAGGAAACACATTTCGTGGTTTAATGTTTAAGCTGTTACATGACGAGGATGATAGGAGGTCACGTTTGTCGGCTACAAGTATAACGAGAAGTTTGCGTTAACTATTAAGCTTCCTTGCGCTAACAACCAAGTATTATCTAAATTACAAGAAGCGAGAGATAGGCAGGTTTCTCGATGCATTCTCCGGGTTTCATCCTGAACGGCTCGCGCAAGGTCAGGGCGAAGGATACCATTATTCGCAGCATATAATAATTTAATATCATAAATCTATCCCGAGATTAGAGAAGCAACTGTCCGACTGTCCTCGAGAAAGCGTTCAAGATGACTTTTATTTAGAAAGTAAATTGTTACGTAAAAAGACATCATTAATATATACAGTGATTTAAATGCAGATTTTACTAGCATGATGTGCGTCACATGTTTTTTTTTAATAATTTGTGCGGTACATCTTCGATTTCGAGATCAGAGTTAGCGCTTCGCAGGTCGAACACGGCGTTCTAGATAAATTCTTCTTAAATATCTGATCTTTTCTTCTTCAGTACTGGAATACGTGGGACCGAAATGGCGCACTTTCGTGGCGAACATGTCGATAGCACTCTTCTTCACGTTCGCCGCCTGCATCTTACCTTGGATCGCGTACTTCCTAGCCAACTGGAGGCTGACTTGCATTACAATATCCGTCCCTCTGGCTCTGGCGGTGGCGGCACCCTGGTTGGTACCAGAAAGCGCGAGGTGGCTTGTCAGTCAAGGCCAAGTGGAGAAAGCCATTGGGATCTTGGGTAAATTCGAACGCATGAACGGCACGAAAGTACCCGAAAACGTCTATCAACAGTTCCGCGTAAGGATCGTTGCTCCCAGACAGCACGCATGTCTAAAAGATATCTTTACGATATTTTGGATATGCATGCTGTCTGGGTTCTTTTTTGTGAGGAGAAAAAAATTACGTCAAACTCATTGAAAAAAATTCACGTTGTAAATGACTGCTTTTGTTGGTGTAACAGGAAACCTGCGCCAGAGTATGCAAAGAGCAAGAGGCGGACAAGACTTACTCCGTGGTGGATCTATTTAAGAGTCCACGTTTGCGAAATGTTACGATTCTCCTCATTATTATCTGGTGAGTTATCCACATAATAAAAAATGCTTCTTCAATTTCAATAGATTCTGAGGCTGTCAAGTTGGAAATGCTTTAATAAATAGCGTTCAACAGACATTTCAGTATTATAGATTATAAGAGAAAATGTATGTAACATTGAATAAAAGATAATCATTTTTCGATATAACTATAAAGAATAAGAAGGTAAGGTTGTTCTTTATCTACATGTACCGATTATGTCCCGCAATGTAGGATGGTGATATCGCTGGTATTTGATGGCCACGTAAGAAACGTGAATAATCTCGGGCTCGACGTCTTTGTAACGTTTACCATAGCGGCGTTTACCGAACTACCCGCCGACACGTTCCTTACCCTCGTTCTCGATCGATGGGGTAGACGATGGTTGGCCTGCGGTACCATGGTAATTTCCGGAATTTTCAGCATTTGGGCAAGCGCGATTTCAAACAGTGAGTTATCTCTCTTTTTACCTAATAGATTATTAAAACGCCCGAAATAATAGCGTTCTAAAAAATTCATAAAATAGAACAGTCATAAAAAATTTAGGAAATTTTAAAATTAAGAAAGATTAAAATTAAAAATTAAAATTAAAGATTAAAATTGAAGATTGGGATGACACATAGCTCAGAGCGAAAATGATCGACCCATAAGTCGCGACTGTAGCAAGTCGCGGGTTTGATCCCTTATCTCGCATGGATATTACATAGTGCTCTATAAAAAGAACGTTTCAAAAATCCCATTGCAAACGGCAGTGGACGGTGATAAACTACTTAAAAAAAAAATAATTAAAAGTAAAGATTAAAATTACAGACTAGCTGTGGAAAATTACAGTTTTTCTTCTGATTTCCGTTTCAGATATTTATTCGGCTACCCTGGCGATCGTCGGTAGATTCTGGGTCAACATCTCATATAACATCGGTCTTCAGTATGCGGCCGAAGTGTTGCCGACAGTTGTAAGGGCTCAAGGGGTTGCCTTGATCCATATAATGGGATACGTAGCCAGCATCCTTGCACCCTTTGTCGTTTACCTGGACACTGTCTCGCCCATTTTGCCACTACTGGTTCTCGGCGTCATGGGCATTCTGGGCGGTCTTTTGACACTTCTTTTACCGGAGACACTCGATAAGGATCTGCCACAGACCTTGCAGGACGGTGAAGATTTCGGAAAGAATCAGAAGCTATGGGACATGCCGTGTCTCTCGAAGTAAGTGTCGAAGATGATTTTCTTTTACATTATTTCGATACAATTTTTACAATACCCGGCACTTTTTTCCTTCGATAAAATAATCGCGTTAAAAATAATTATCTTAATTATATATAATATCTATATTAGTTATAGATATTATACTTTAAAAAATATCTTTTCTCTAATTTTTTTTAAATGTTTATTTCAAATTGAATATATTTCTTATTTCTTAATTTCTCCTTCTTACCAAATATAATTTTTTAAGAAAAAGTAGCGCATATTATTTCCTGAGAGATATCGTATTCGTATATTCCTAGTTAGCCAAATCTGAAAAAAACATATTTTGTCAAGCGTCTGCAACAAAGAGTGGCCCCAAAATCGCACGTTTTTAGCCTATTTTGGTGGCCCTCGAAATTTGAATTGAATTGTATGCTAAACGATGCTATATGATGGGACATTAATCTAAAAAAAAATTTAAAGTTGAGCATAGGGCTAGTTTTGGAGATACGGAGGGGTCAAAGGGGCCAAATTCCCAATATTGTCCAAATACAATAGACACAAAAAAGAAGTTAAAACTTCTTTGATAATAGTGGTATTTTGAATAGAATTAGTCCGAATGGTTCTCTGATCACTGTACTAAAAATTCACCTCTTCCATTCCTGTTGCTTAATTTTTTAAAAGGGTAAACTACCCTTAAAAAAAGTTTTTGCCGAATTTCTGGAAAACGGATAGAGATACAAAAAAATGTTTTCAATGGAAGTTGTTTGTCTAGGAATTCTGCACAAAAAAAGTCAACATAAATATTCATAAAAAAATCATAAAGTATCATAAAAAAATATTTCTTTATACTTCTCTTATTTTATAGCACAGCCATAGCTTCATGCATTAATATCTATAAAACTATTAATATGTACCTAAACTAGATAGTGATGTAATAATTATTTGACACGTTTACGAGACAATGACTTGCTTATAATTTATAATGTGCTAACAAGGAAACCCACGAAAGTGTCCTTCTTTGATTTTGATGACCTTTTAGTATGTTGTTCTCTAAATGAAAATAAGGAACACGTATTTTTTTATACATGCCCATACGTGTGTTTAGGGGATAAATCACCCCTTTGAAGAAAATCAGTTTTTCTCTTTTGGGTCGAATACCTCCGAAACTATATAAAGGTAGACAAAATTTTTTTGAACAAAAATTGAATGGTTTGAAAAGCACTTTAGAATAATGACAAAATAAATTGTTTTATTTTAACTTTTTTTATTTTTATTAAAAAATAAAAATTAAAAAATTTTATGTCACACGTGCATGGAAAGTGGCCCATTACGCACGCGACGCGTGCTCGAAAGAGACACTTCTGTGGGTTACCTTGTTAAGTTATGTTTCCTTGACTTTAACATTGACTAGCAAACAGTAAGTAATCTAACATCAACATTAAAGTGATATAGTGACTGCTGACGTTTAAATCCCCCATCATCTTTAACTAATTTAATGGCATTCTTCATCGAATCAACTAGGTGTGAACTAGGTGCCATTCGTCGTCTTTCTGACTCGGTTTCTGACCATGATTCCTGTAAGAGGATGTAACAATTACATTAATAACTTTAAATTTTTATCAAAAAATAGTGTTAAATTACTTAATGTATGACAGGAAAAAAATTACAGTGTCTCAACTTGCCCCACGAAAATTTGTCTCAACCGACCCCACTATACAAATATTTATAAATTTATTCAATACCGCTATAACTTGTCATTTAAGTGCGGATCTCAAAGACTTAAAATATGCAGAAATGTCCTGCCCTTTTATAAGTTTTCACTGAAATGATAAGAATTATGACCAATACTAAAAAAGGCGTGACACTTAAAACTTATTTTAACTATACCTTTTGATGGTTCTTAAAATTGAAAGATTTTTGCGCCGCCATGCCTGGCCACAAACGTCAGTGTGAATATGAAAAATTTTGCGAACAATGGCCCTTATTTATGGGCGCTGGTATCGATCCGCTGGCGATCACCTTTTTCAAGATATCAATAAGTGTCTTAAATCTGCCCCATGTCTCAATCTGCCCCACCATACCCTACTTTTAAATATGTTATACTTAAGGTAATACTTAAAAGTATAAGCATGGTTGAATGACCAATTTGCCGTTGTGTTATGCCGTGCATATTTTTGCTCGGTTTTTACCGTCTGTTTGCTGTTAAATTATGCTAACAAATTTTGTGCAGTTTGCTCTCATTTTATGAACAGCAAGTTCTTCAAACAAAACACTAGCCTAACGAGAACACATCAGATGGTACAGATAGTTTTGATGCAAAATTTTGATTGAATTTGTTGCTAATTTGCAAGCGTATTGTTATCACTTTGCTCAAGGGTGCTTTTTCTTTTTAGAAAAAAGCCTGACGTGGAGGCGCCGCCAGTGGCCGTCTTCCGGTCCTTCGAACGCAGCAGTTTCCGAAGTTCAATGAGAGCATCTATTCGCGGTGAGACCCTGAGGAGCAGCATGATACAAAGATCGAGCATAAGATCACGGAAAAGCGTAAATGCGGCCACGGAAGAGAGCAAGTGCGGAGAGCTGAAGAGAGCGAAGAGCAAATGAATACTTCGAGACACGCTGCCCTGATTCTTTCTCTCTCTCTCTCTCTCTCTCTTTCTCTCTCTCTCTCTCTCTCTCTCTTTCTGTCTCTACCGTTGTTCTTTCCTTCAGAATTGTGTGATACCGCGGAGCTATCAAAATCAAATTATGCATACACCTGTATCTATAACCGTCAATGGCAGTTTTAGATCGACGAAAAGACAAAATGGAACGTTACTTTCTAACCCGTTACTCTATTAAAGTTTACTTAAATAGAGGAGAGGAAGGTTGTTGCAATTAATTTTAAATATTGACAGTAGAGAAGTATAGAAATGTCAATTAGAACTTAATCAGAATTCAACTAAAACGCTCTAATTGGCCGGTCTATTCCCACTCAGCAGATTATGCCCCTTACGATTTTCTTTATTATATTATTCTAAATTCTATATGTGTGACGTTCTTGAAATCTGACTTGGATTTCAAGTAAATAGATAGGGACTCTTACTCCCAGTCATGTAGTATTAACGCGAAGCTACAGATTTTTTTATTGCGATTCATACTTACATATATATTTTTACCACGCTTGTATTTAATAAGAGGAAGAAAAATCGGTGTCGTGAAAGCTTAGAAACGCGTGACGTTTTGAAACTCTTATCTGTTCCTTACGAAATGCGCGTCCTTCGAGGGAAAAAGAAAGAAGAGAAACTTTCAGATGCGAGAATATTTTCAGACGGTGCGTTCCGATTAGATGAGAAACAGATGAAAGGCAAATGTGTACTCGAGACAATGCTGAGAACGGTTCGTGTGCATTTTACATAAATTGATCGCGTTGCTGCAGCTGCGACACATCACTGTTGCTCACGTTCACACGTATAGTATGTAATACAACAATGTACATAGCGAATGGGAATCAAATTTTTGAGTTATATCAAACGACGCGATGGACTGCGCATTGAATGCGAATTGTAGATCGCGCGTCCTGAATGGGAAATTTTCGGATATAGCAGCTTTATTGTGATAATGAACACGCGTATCGACGCCGACGTCTTCCCGCCGTTCAGAAACGCTCCTAGAAATGCTTTTCGCTGAAATTCATCAGAGATCTCGAGATTTGTGTACATATACAGTATTTTATAATGTAAATATAAGAATATTAAATTAATTTGTATGTCCCGCTGATCTGTGTTAATAAATGTAAACTGATATTCAGTCGGATAGATAATTACCGCCATTACCGGTCGCCTTTGATTAAAAGGCGCTGGTATTGCTCTGTGACGAAGGTGCGATCATTAATGAACGGTAACAACTATCGACAGTTTCTCGATCGCAAATGAGAGAGTTATATATGTTATAGTTTAATTGTTCCATGCTATTGCATTGCAATTGACGATTATCGTCGACTCGGCAAATGTATACGCTAATGTAATATCGACGAAATGTTGAATACAGACATTGGGGTCATTCATAAGCCGTGTATGCGTATAATTTAAGTTATCTTATCACTGCATTGCGGTCGCCCGACAATTCATCAGTGCGCGTGAAATTTCAGAATCTGTTCAACGAGACCACGATTCGTCACATTCTAACGCTTAGAACCCGAGAAGCGCGCAACTTTTTGTGCTATCTCGATTTTTTTGACCTTGAGATTGATAACGAATAACGATCTATATAACGCGCGTCTTATTAACGTTACAAGGTATTTGCGATAACGTGGATCGCTAATATCTGGCACAATTGGCATCGTTCAAGAAATTTACACACTCGTACAGGATGGCTCGCGTAATCATATTAAGCCACAAAAAAAAACGAAAGAAATTATTTTGTTTCCGAGGGAAGCAAGTACTCAAATCGTCTTTTGTTAAAATTTTTTTATCAAAATTAAATGGAAATTTAAATTACGAAAACCTTTTCATTTAAAGAGTATTTATTTTTTCTTTTCCTTCCTTTAAATGTACGATATTAACGTCGTGGGTTTCACTAACGTCGCATTGTACCCGACAAATTATAAATAAGGCTAGTGATATGCTACTTTTTTTCACATATAATAACAATAATCTTTAATACATTTATATAATCACTTTTCACAATTTTTTAATTTTAATTTATTAATTTAACTTATTAAGGAGGTATTCTGGTTTGAAAGGTCGTAAAAAAAGATACTTTTCAGGAATTTTTTATAGGAAAACGAAAAAAGCGAATAATGTTAAACTTTGCAGGTTCTTTTAGCCTTATTTTAAGAATGGTATATATTTATTTTTTAAGTAACAAAAATGCTCTTCTTTTTTGTTTGCTTATCCTGACCACTATCAGCTCGCAAAAAAGATGGCACGGTGTAAATGATTCTAGCTATTTCAGGTATTTAAAATGCAAAAACCAAAATTTTTTTATTCAGAAAAAGTGTGGCTACCGTCTAAACTAGAATAAACATTATACGTTTATTAGATTTTTTGTAATAAAATATTAACAAAATTTTTTTTTTAAGAAAAACTAAAATATTTTTAATAAAAAAACCGCCATTTTGTCTAGAATAAAAATATTGGTTCAGTTCTAGTTTAAAATAGCCATATTTTTCCTAAATAAGAAAATTTTTTACGACTTTCCAAAATATGCCCTTAACGGAATTTATTAATTAAATTAATTAATAGTAATTTTTTAATTCTTTGTACTCCACTGCCGTCGCTACAGCAATATGCATAATTTAAATAAATAAATTCATAAACGTTTGTAATCTTTTCCTTTTAAAACAAAACTTTCGGTTTTTAAAAGTTTTGTACAAGTTTGTTAGAATTGCTGATTTGATCGGATCAAAAAATGCTCGAAGTGCAAAGAGTTAATATTAATTGTAATATTAATTTAACTAATTTTCTTATATTATTGATAGCAAAGATGGTTGCGAGAATGGTCAAAGTTAGATGAAACGTTCTGTACTTCTCGCGTTTCGCTGCAAATTCGCGGAAGGAATTTTCCATCAAATTTGTCCTAACGTTATTACAATTGGAATAGCGGTTTTATCAGTCAAGGTTTTATGCTTAAGTAGCAGGACGCCTATCGATCACCGGCCGCACGTAGTTTATTTCTGGCTTGCGAGTTTGGCTCATTCGAAACGTGAGGTCCAACAGCGCGCCAGATATTGTTGCGAATTCGTAGGTAGCGGAACAAGAATTGCGCGGTTGTCGACAACCGGTTTACGCGAGTAATATTCTACGCAGATTTTATTTGGCAGACGATAGTACAAATAAAAGTGATTAAAGTGCTTTCGACACCGCGATTAATAAAAACTCACGGTAAATATAGAACGATAAAGAAATTATGCCATGGACTGTTTAATATTTATGGTAGAATTATTTGAATAAAATAAGAAATTTATTATTACATCGGAAATTATTCTTGGTGGTGTTACCTTATTTCGATGTTGCAATTTAACGTAGTTGTGCAAAACCGTCAACGTGTAATTTCATCCGTAACCAACAGTGGAAGCTAGATTTACCGGTAAGTCAATGAAGTTACAAGAATGACTACGTTTACAAAGCGGCTTATAATCCAATTTAATAACTATATCGTATACTATCCGATCAAAAATTTTTCTTTTTTTTTATTATAACAATCATTTAAATATGAATTGAAACAGGACCTATTCTTTTACTAATAATTTACGCTAATTTACACTGTTGTTCATTAATTAATGTCTTTATCTTTTGTCTGGGACGTCAAGTTCCAAAGGCTTTTTTTCCTTTTAAAGACTAAAATTTATATAAATTAAAAAAAAGCCTCTCCAAAGAATATTAACTTCAAACTGTAGAAAATGTAGGTCCATTGCTGACAGCAAACTCGTAAATTTTGATCGCAAGTTTCCGCACTGTCGTGCGTAGAACTTCTATCACTCGCGTGTATATTACGAAGGTCGTATTGATTTTTTCCTCAGTGCTCGAACGGCAAATTTACATACAATTTCGCCCCGGGGAGAATGCAAGTTTTCTATGTACACATCATAAGTGTGTCGAGCGAATCTTGTTACGAATGAATCTTTTATGCAGCATGATTAACGGGAAGAAAGTTTGAGTTTATAGTTGCGAGACATGTGTAATGAGGCGTTATATTTGTAAGAAATATATATATAGTGTGTTAAACTTGATTCTGTGAAACCGCGTATTTTCGCAACAGAATAAATTTTTATTTCTCGCACTTCTTCGTTTCGGCAAATCGTTTTTATCAGCGAGATTTTTTTCTGCGAGATTTGTTTCTTGCGTAATTACAATTTGGAGGAGGTGCAAAAGTCGCCATTTTTCGCCCTCAACGCGGGAACCTGTAAAACATTGCTTTGCTACCTTATGTGAGGTTGAAAGAAGAAGAAATAATATTCTTTTCACTAGAAAACTGCAGGAAATATTTTAGAAGCAATAATGAATGTCTTTAAAACGTGTGTCACTACATTTCCATTTAAAAAATTCTACACCATGAAATTGTATAAAAATGCCTGTAGGGTAGGTAGTCCAACAATGAACCATGTAAATTTCAGAAGTTTATATCTCTCTCAATTATTGAGTTGGAGATCCGTATTTTTGCATACAGTTTATGAATTTAGTTGGCTATATACTGTATAAGATAACTTATAAGTCATTTTTAAAGTTTAGCCACAATTTTCGATTTTTTTAAAACAGTCAAATGGTTCATTGTGTACAGGGGTGTGTATATACACACAATGAACCTAGCCATTTTTAACAATAAACCACATGTTTTAAAATGTTTATTTAGAGAAGAGATAATTATAAGACATGATAAGTAAGATTAGGATATTGTATGACTTTAAATTAAAGCTAATTTAAATATATATGTTATGTTTTTATTATTTGAAGCTTATAATCAAAATTATTATTTTTAATCAGACTTTTTCTCACTTACAATTAGATTATTATTTATTGTAATAACTAGTCAGTTTAATCAGATTTATAACACAGATAACTGTAGTAAAAAGCAAAATGGTTCATTGTAGACCATATATAACATTTTTTATAATAATCTTCAAAAAATACGGTAAAATAATGCAAAAGAAAGTTGCTTACAGAATTATAAAGCCAAATATACACATAAAATTATAGAATAATGAAAAAAATAATAGATATAACAACAAAAACTTGAAAAATACGTAAAACTTACGAAAAAAACTAAGTTTGTCACCAAAGTATCACAAAATATGGTCTCAAACAGCCGTTTGAACGCTTCGCGCGATTTGCTGGCCGATTGGGGAGCCGAAGAGGGGTTCAAATGCGAGAAGTTGCATGACAACAAGCACAATCTAGCAACACTACATTTATGAAATATTGCAATGGTTCATAGTGTACAACTGGTTCATTGATGAACTACCTACCCTACATACAACACGAGCGCATGCACCATTGCTGATATCATATGTAAATACATTCATATATTGACTGGCGAGGTAAACGTTTCTTATTCTGTTTGAATATTTATATATATATTTTTGTCAAAAATGATACATTTGTAAACACCGATTCTTACTATCTATACACAAATGTACACTCCCACCTCTACTCCCTGCCCTCCCCCACATACACACACGAGGCACCAAGCTACGTCCTTAAAACATAGATACCTAAAGATAATCATGATGGTTCATCTGAATTAGAATCTGAAAACTAAATTTCCTAATCTTTGGTAATTATTTAGTATGGGGGATCCAGTCCCAATAACCCTGATCTTGACATATGTTATCAAAGGCATGACTCTGAGTGACTTTATTAAATACCATATAAATATATGAAAATATAAAAATATATAAAAATATATAAAAATATATAAAAATAAAAATAATGGAGGCAGCCACGTCCTCGTTCGTTGCCTCTGGGTTAGACGCGGTAGAGTTCTGACTTATGAATTATTTCTACAGTATTTTTTTAACGACGGTTCGTGTAAATCTTCGAAATACACTAGAAAACTTGTACTTCGTGTTAGATTGTTATTCAATAATACCATCTTTATATAAATTATTATCTTACATATATGCAACACTTATTTTACACAAATGCACTTTAACTCTCATTCATGCGTTTCAAAACTTTTTATTTTTTATTAAACCGTTCAAACACAGCTATTTTGACACACGTTTTAAAGACATTCATTATCAATTCTAAAATATTTCCCGCAGTTTCCTAGTGAAAAGAATATTATTTCCTTCTTCTTTCAACCTCAAATAAGGTAGCTAAGCATGTTTTACAGGTTATTTCCGTTGAGGGTGAAAAATGCCGACTTTTGCACCCCCTCCTTTAGGTAACATGATAGCAGGATAACATAATTTCTTCGTGTTCACATACACGTGAAGAAGATGAAGAGACGTGAAGAAAACTCTGTATCCGATTCGCGAATGTAGAAAACAAAGAAAATAATATTTCAGACTCTTTTTTTTCGAATTTCGGCAATGTCTTTTCTTCAAGATTTTGTCTTCAACCAAAGACAAAATTCAAGAAGCGTGGAGGTCTGTTTGATTCGTCCATCTCTCGTTATTCTTCCGCGACGCGGTGATCAGTTTTCTCTCACCGTTGTTCTTCCTTTCTTTCTCGCTACTGTTGACATATATATATACGTGATATATCACGTTCTGCATGCCGAGCTCTCATATCAACGATACTCAATCGGGTTTCCTCCTCAGACAGCGAGTTGCACTTCGCGTGAGAGCCTCGTCATTACCGTCGCTTACTCACAATCGATCGTAAAAAATACCGCCGTAAGTGGTAAACATTAAAAATTATCACATAGTGTAGTGGCATCTGGATTTACAATTGTTGTAATTACGAATTACGCATTATTTATAGTCAATTTGCAATAATTTCTTTGACAGTTTGTGTAATGCTCACTGACTATAGTTTTTCTTCGCAAAGTTATTTTTCCTGCAACGAATTATACATTACGTAAACAAATTGTAAAATTTGCTGACGTTCGGTGATACAAATCAAAGATTAAATGTACGAAAAGATTAAATATACGTAATTAGTGCAACGAAAAAATAACACAGTGTAAGTATTAACAGTTTTAACACGAAGACTACATGCAATTAAGTTTTGGATACATGACGTATTGAAATTAGAAAATTTACAAGAATTCAAACAGTAGAAAAACTTATTGCGATAGGTTTAAAGGTATAGTGTCGAAAGATATTAAAGTTTTTCTAATTGTAAAAAATAAAAAAAGAAGAAAGATTGATCAAAGATACTATAAATCTGTAATAACTACAATTAAAGATTAAATATATTATGAAAAATGTAAATATCGAGAATAAGCTCTCCTTAGACACCCTGTGTTTAAGATGAAACTTGAACTGCTTGAGGAGCAATGTTAAAAGTATGAATCATCGATCGGATATCAATGACCAACTTCGGGGAAGGCATATTTAACATATAGGCTCATCGCGTTAATAATTAATTGCGGACGTTAATATGCAGACGTGACAACGACGCTTTCTACGCAAGAAAATGTTTATTTTAATAAGAAGGCAAAATAGCGAATAATCACACAATCGCAACCGCGAAGTTGTTCTATATATATTCGCGGAATGCCTTGGCTAATTAACCTTAATGAATGGTCAGCCGCAAGATATTCGCAATGTAAGTACAATACAGTGTATATACGCGCGACGATTTCCTATCATCATTTTTTTTAATTCGGTCAAATGCTTATACGAGTACAAATTACGTACACGTATAAAATTGTAAATTTAAATCTATTCTTATATGACTATTATTCTCATGCTTGAGAATAGTGCAAAGTCGTGCAAAATTAAAAGCATAATGGTCTTGCAGAACGCATTGTTGCGTCTGCCTGTTAAAAATTATTTTTATCGCGTTATCAAGCTGCGTCGGACCATTTTGTGATCTGTCGCGCCGGTATTTACATTTGACATTGACCCTTTGCCGCAACTTTCGATATCTCATCGCTCTTGAACAGCAATTATTATGTATATTTCTTTTGGGGCGTTTGTCGCAGATACACACAATCATCAAGTTATCGCGGGCACGATATTTTTCGATTTTCAAGAATAAAAAGTAGTAGTCGTGTCAATCATCCATGAACAAAAATCTCAAGCGTTCTTTACAGTCAAAGCAAGCGTTAATTTTTTGGAGAAAGAAGTACTATACGTGCATGATATTGATTATCTATATGTTAAGGATTCCTGATTATCAAGTCTGCATTGACAGTACGCTTACAATTAGCGTCACACTTGGTAAAATTGTGAAACTAAAAGGCGTGAAAAGTAACGTTAAAAAGCTAATTAGATACAGTTACCTATATAATAAGGAACCAAACGCCATTTTCGCGATTTTTAGTTTCGCATTGTAAAGTGATCATAAACAGGACAGGAGATTTTCTAAAAAAACGCGTATAACACATGGAATTGCACTTGAGGAAGATTATAGTTCGGTCATTATATTTGAGATAACGTTGGCACATAATTTTATTTCTAATATTTCGTAAAATTT